GGGGCGCCTTCGGCACAACCACACACACACACTCAATCCTCCCTTCCCGACCCAGAGCACGGCGCGGCCGAGGAGGCTTTCCGGGAGGAAGAGGGGGGTGGGCGCAGCCCCCGGGGTCTCCTTCTCCCCGTGCTCAGCCGCGCTGCTCCCACCCTCGGAGCCCGCACAACACTTCACCGTTCCGATTCTCGCAGACGCGCGTGCGACTCCGGAAGCACCAACAGGAGGAATTTCTTTTACTGTTGCCACCCCTGGTTGTCCGAGCAGCAGCCGGGAGGCTGGCTATGCCGTGTTATGCAGGAGCTTTAGCAATGGTGCTACTGAGTACGAATTTAACCACTCGTGTACTGTCACGTTACTGAATCCGCCACTGTGCACATCACCGCCACCACCTTCCACCTACCGCTTCGCAGACACCCCTCCCTGCTCACCGGAGCCTCGGACGCGGCGATGCGCGGTGGGATGCTACCGGGGATGCCCCGGTTCACCCTTCTCCAGGCGGGAGCGGGAGCCGCCTCCCCCGGCAAACGGGAGCCCTCGCCCCGCTGCAGCCTCGGCCTTTCATCGCTATTTTCTAAGCCTTGAAGCATCGGTGCTCCCGAGGGCAGGGAGAGAGCACGGCAGGGCAGAGCACGCCAGGCACCCTTGGCCAAGCCTGGGCGCGTAGCCAGTAGTGACCGTGTCGGATTTATTAGGAAGACCTTTAGCCTCCAAAAGTTGTACCTGTTTTATACAAAAAAAACAGAAAAAGAACAAAAAAAAGAAAAAGCAGAGACTGTTTCAACATCTATTTTAACAACAAAATGCTATTTTGTTATCGAATCTAATCAAGTCTTTTTTTACTGTACGGATTGGGGGACCGTGGTGCGCGGTACCAAGTGGTTCACGCCGAGCAAATGGTTTAAGAGTAAATGCTTTTGTAGCCTGGAAGCCTAACAGCTGATTAACCCGTTGCTAGTTTTGGAATAAGAGAGAGGAGCTCTAGTTTTTGTGACTTTTCAGAAGATAAAAAGGACAGAACTACAGCAGTGGAGGTGACACTGAACAAGGCCATGGACAACCATTAAACCTATCTGTTCTGAAGCAAAAATCAATAAACCCAACTCATTGTACTTGTGACATAACCACCGGGACCTTCAGTTACCTGGGGAGCAGCAGTCTATTCTCACAGGGAGCAATAAAAGCCAGTTCTGGTAAGTTTTGCTTGAGAAGTTGGACATACTTAACAAAAAAAAAACAACAAAAAAAGGTGAAAACAGGTGAGCAAGTTTTATTTCATCTCAGGGAGAGATTTTACGTAAGCTGGGGCCATACCTGCAGTTTTAAAAAGCCTGATGTCCGTGTTCTTGTCTCTGAGCATCCCACCATCCATCACCACGTGCGCCGCTCCCCGCCGAGGCCGCCTCCTGCCCGCTCCGGACCCGCTCGGCCGGCGCCCGGCCAAGGAGCACAACGCTGACCGTGTTGGTCAATCTGCCACCGCGACAAACTGGCCAGATTTGGATCGTTTGTCACTGCAATAAAGGAAGGTCCCGT